TGATTCTGATTTTCTTATGATATTGAGATCTTTTTCCTAAACTTTGAACCTTTTATTTGTTAATTTTGGCCAAAAAGAGAAACAGGAAACAGGAGGTAAATCATATATCACCGTGCGAAGGAGAATGTACAGGCGAGCACACAGACATGAAAATGGAAAAGAATATGAAGTTACCAACAGATATAAGGGTTGTATAAAAACAAAAGCAAACGCTATTTCAATCACCCAGCTTGCAACCACCACTAGCTCCCCTCACCCTACCCCACCCACACCACAGCCTTCAAGAAAAGAACAAGAAGAACAAGCAATAAACTTCCTACAAGTGGGTTTGATATAATTTTTGAGCATTAGCTATCATTACCTAGACTAAGAAATATTTTGCATATGTTTGAACAGAAAAGGGGAAACATGGTAGAAGAAGAAACAAGGAAATAAATCAAAAGGAAGAAAAGAAAAGATGTGCCAATGTCTATGTGCGTGCAACTGTGTGTGGGGATCAGAGAGATGTAAGTGATTGGTCGGCTTCCCATGAAGCTGGACCAGGCAATGAGTGGCAGAACAACACTTATTTGGTCTCTTGGGGACCTTTGATCAATCTGTGCGTTAATTGGAACTTCAGAGTTTCAAATTAGGTTGAGAGATGGTTCGAAAAACTCTAAACAACGGGAATGTATTTTCAAGCTAAATTGGAATGGCAAATTCGATTCCAGAAAACTAAACAGATAGAATCAAAATCTGCCATTCTGATTCTGTATCCATATTCCTCTAAAGCAATACCTTAGAAGCAAACACCCCACAATAAAGAATAATCGTTCCTTATTAATATAACAACGCCAAAAAGGAACGAGCTCTCAATGGAGACTTGATCCATACAAAATGCTTGGCTACTTATTCACAACTTCATAATTTTTTTGAGCTTAAAAAGATATTACAATTGCCTTTCTTTGTTGATATACTTTGATCTTGCATTTTTTTGCTGTAATGAGTGATTTTTTTATTTTTTTTCATGTTTAAAAGTATCCGTTGAGCACACTGATTTATATTAAAGCAAAGTCAGTGCATAAAACAGACTCATTGTGTAGCCTAAGCTTAAAGGAAAGCATCGCTCAACTTTGAACAATAAATCTGAATATTGCAACAGACTCCAACTGTCAAAAAAATGAATTGGAACAGTGACAGAAAATCACTTGTCAAATCTAAATAGATTCCATTGATTTCAGCGAGTCGTGCGTAGTTGAAAAAAATATATAACTTTTGCAGTTCCTACTGACTAAATCTGAAAGGAAACTTTGGTCATCATCCGGAACTTGGAGAACAGAAAATGAATTTTGACCTTGCTAAGTGGCAGAGCCAGAATATTATCCAATGGGATCATTCAATATGGCATATTATCCAAGTAGATAACAAGTTAACAACTTCATAAAATGAAACTCCAACTTAATAAATAATAAATCACACTAATATATTATTTGTTGAACATATTAAATCAGTAAAAAAAATGCTAATTTCTGAAGTATATTATAGTTAGGATAGTAAATGACACCCCAAATGTATCTATTTAAACAAACCACTTTGTGTTTCTTGCACACTTTCAGTACGGATTTCCGTTGTTTATAATGAGAAACCAAATAACTTAATAATTATTAATTGTTATAGAAGGCATGTGTTCTGAAGATGGATTCAAGTGCATAATAAGACCGACCAATTAACTTTTAAAAATTTACTTGCAACACTGCCAATAGAAATACTGCAAATAGGCAAGAGATCAAAAAAAACTGTTCCACTGCTGAACTACTTTTGCATGAGGATTCATGACTCCTGGAATATAACGACGCAAAAAAGAATACATTCTCTTTGCCCAACCTTTTGCATCTCCATAAATCATATTGTGGAACTACAAATAGACACATGAAAATCAAACAGCATGAGCTAATTGACTAACTTTGCATGTCTAAAGCAGACAATTATATGCCAAAAAACTGTAAGATGCCAGGAAGAAATTAGTTTTAAAACAATCAATTCTACAGTTTGAAATTTAACAAATAGTTGAACTATGTTAAGAAGACACATGAAGCATCCAGTACATTGATGAACCAGCTCAGAGAAAATCTTTCCTTGAGAAAATAAAAGTTCGTAAAAATCACTGTCTAGCAGAGCGCTCACTTGTTACGTCACTAGTCACATTATGAGAAGAACTACTTGCCATATTCCATAAATATCTAGCACACCCATTATTTTATAAAGAACTACCACATTCCCTCTGAAACACTAAATTTGTTACACTTCTTCTATTTTATGTACTATTATCAATTCACAATTTGTTCAGGATATACTCGTTAGTTATATTCCCTAATCCCAATCGAGTGGCTTGATTTAAAACATATAAATGAACCTTCATCACAATCTATTTATTGATGTTGGAAGAACAAGTCCATATAATCAAGCATATTATTAATGATGTAGGAGTTCTAATTTCTATGCACATATGACTTAGACTGGTATATGATTAGATTAATAGAAAGGAGAGTGGCAATCAAATAACCTTGTTTATGGATACAACACTACATAAATTGGGATTCCTCAACTCCTCCCCCCACACTCTCAAATAAAGGAGAAAGAAAGAATGTGTATAATACCTTAGCATCAAATATATCAGACATTCTTGAGTTCTTCTGGTTCCCCGTAAAATTGTAATACGTTGGGCACGTTGTGCAGTATGGATCGTTGCACATCCCCAGTTGCCTAGACCTCAAAAGATGTTCATTTTTTCCCATGTAGTTCCCATCTGGCCAATCATTTGTTCCCATCTGGCCAATCATTCTGATCCATTCCATTAACTGAAGGATATTTTTCTACTTTGGGCTCAGTGTTTTTCTGCCTTAAAGTACCTTGCGTAGACTGAATGGTGCCAACATGTCTACGGCCGGCATATAAAGGACCACTCCTCTGTACAAACGATGTCCTTCTTTCACTTCTTAAAGGACCAGTGTAACCTACAAGGTTGTTTTCATATTCAGAGGGGTCCATAGAATTCACAGGAATAGACAATGATGCACTCCTGGTCCTGGATGAAAACCCCTAGCTGAAGATTCATTGCCCTCGTAGACTTGCAAATACGTTGCTGATAGCATTGGTACCTCATCTTTTTCAGAAGAATCCATTTTTCTTAAATAAAATGCCTGCAATAGAAATAAATGTAATATCGAACATTAACAATTAGAAGCAAATTGAATGTTTTGGGAAAATAAAGATAACGCTTTCAAGCTTGAAAAATGACAGTTAAAATACTTTTTGAGCTTCCTTTCTTATCCTTCTAATTAAAAATAGGGTACAATGTAATGTTCAGGCATCTATCAACAAATTTGGTAACTCGGAATTTATACCAGACCAGCTTATATATTTTGAAGTGTAATGTGAATCAGTTCATTAGTGAATGCAAATTAGTTTTTCAAAACCCATGTAAAGTAAAATGGAGAAAAAATAAAAATAAAGAAATGCAAATGAGTTCATCATATAACTTTCTGTCTACAGTTACTCTTTTGTGTCATTCCTTTAAATTAAGTAGGATGCTCCTTTCCTCATCGCCCCTACCCTATGATGCACCGACAAGGACGGATACGTCGACACGTGATTTTAAAAAAAAGTACAGACACGACACATCATCGACACGTTGATTAAATTCTNCAGAGCGCTCACTTGTTACGTCACTCGTCACATTATGAGAAGAACTACTTGCCATATTCCATAAATATCTAGCACACCCATTATTTTATAAAGCACTACCACATTCCCTCTGAAACACTAAAATTGTCAGACTTCTTTTTTATGTAATATTATCAATTCACAATTTGTTCAGGATATACTCTTTAGTTATATTCCATAATCCCAATCGAGTGGCTTGATTTAAAACATATAAATGAACCTTCATCACAATCTACTTATTGATGTTGGAAGAACAAGTCCATATAATCAAGCATATTATTAATGATGTAGGAGTTCTAATTTCTATGCACATATGACTTAGACCAGTATATGATTAGATTAATAGATTTGCAAGGAGCGTGGCAATCAAATAACCTTGTTTATGGCTACAACACTACATAAATTGGGATTCCTCAACTCCTCCCGCCACACTCTCAAATAAAGGAGAAAGAAAGAATGTGTATAATACCTTAGCATCAAATATATCAGACATTCTTGAGTTCTTCTGGTTCCCCGTAAAATTGTAATACGTAGGGCACGTTGTGCAGTATGGATCGTTGCACATCCCCAATTGCCCAGACCTCAAAAGATGTTCATTTTTTCCCATGTAGTTCCCATCTGGCCAATCATTCTGATCCCTTCCATTAACTGAAGGATATTTTTCTACTTTGGGCTCAGTGTCTTTCTGCTTTAAAGTACCTTGCGTAGACTGAATGGATTGGTGCCAACATGTCTACGGCCGGCATATAAAGGACCACTCCTCTGTACAAACGATGTCCTTCTTTCACTTCGTAAAGGACCAGTGTAACCTACAAGGTTGTTTTCATATTCAGAGGGATCCATAGAGTACAGGAATAGACATTGATGCACTTCTGGTCCTGGATGAAAAACCCCTAGCTGAAGATTCATTGCCCTCTTAGACTTGCATATACGTTGCTGATAACATTGGTACCTCATCTTTTTTCAGAAGAATCCATTTTTCTTAAATAATATGCCTGCAATAGAAATAAATGCAATATTGAACATTAACAATTAGAAGCAAATTGAATGTTTTGGGAAAATAAAGATAACGCTTTCAAGCTTGAAAAATGACAATTAAAATACTTTTTGAGCTTCCTTTCTTATCCTTCTAATTAAAATAGGGTACAATGTAATGTTCAGGCATCTATCAACAAATTTGGTAACTCGGAATTTAATAAATACAGAACCAGACCAGCTTATATATTTTGAAGTGTAATGTCATTCAGTTCATTAGTGAATGCAAATTAGTTTTTCAAAACCTATGTAAAGTAAAGGTGTAAAGTGGAGAAAAAATAAAAATAAACAGATGCAAATGAGTTCATCATATAGCTTTCTGTCGACAGTTACTCTTTTGTGTCATTCCTTTAAATTAAGTAGGATGCTCCTTTCCTCATCACCCCTACCTATGAAACTATTAGACAACACAAAATGTGTATCAATCAATATATTCAGATTTCACTAGATTTATTTCTTATATAAAAGGAAAAAAACAAGCAGGCAACAAGCAGGTTAAGTACAACAGGAAGAGACTATTCCGGCAATTCACAGTAAGATCATTAGCCATATTATTTTCATTTTTCCAATGCAACCATTTACATCAAGACACATTCACAAGGATTCTTCAAATAATGATGATTAGCTAGCTTTTTTACTAAGTAAATGTTTCTCATAGTGTCATCTGAAGTGTTTTGAGAATGCTCTTTTGTCCACGCCCCACATCATTGCCATACCGCTACACAAATTATTGAGTTGGTGGCCGAAGAACAGCTGTTGATTCACGTGAAACGATGTTGGTCTTACCGTGGTAGACAGGCTACACCATGATGGCATGGATAGGCATTTACACTGCTCACTAATCAGCGGATTGGACGGGTAGAATTTGAACCCATATTGCTCCACATCAAGTGATCATAAATAACATTTCTTTTTCCATTGATGTTATATGTTACTAAATATTTGAGTTTACGTATCGCTTTAACATTTTCCTTTCTCTATTCCTTCACCAATACTCTCTTAGTACTTACAACTGTATAGAATCTCTAAATAAGTCGAACCATTCCCCATAACATAAACATTATATATATTTCTCTCCATTTCCACACTTTTCCGAGCAAACAACTTTAAATTCTGTCTTTTACTAAGTTGTGTAGCTTAAAGTCCATGGGTCTAACTCATCACTGCAAAACCAACTTATAATGATATTTGACGTTAACAATCTCCCTCAGAACCAGGACTCGAGTCGCTAGGCACTTGACCTCCAAACAAGGCTAGAGAAACAAATCCAAACCATCCCTAGCGCACACATGCCCTGATAGCCTAATACCACGGGCCTAACTATCACGGTAAAACCGGCTTAGAATGTGACGCTTGCTTTCACCTTATACATCAAACGTGCTGACGCAATTAGATATCTTCCTTCACAAAAAATTACTTTCTTGTTAAAGAAAGTCTCACTTTGGGCCTTGTTTCCTCCATCCAAAATAATATAAGTAAACTCAAAACATTTCCTTATTTTTTAACCACACGCGTTCTCCATCAAATTACTACTCCAGAATGCATTTGGGACAAAAGAAAAAAAAAATGAGGCTCGTGTCAGAATAACTAACTTGAATTTAAATTCCATAAACTATCTTAGCAAAAACTTGTTTTTGATGAAAAGCAGGCACTACTAAGATATACAACAGTTTATGAGACACAAAAACATGGTCTCCGAAAAAAATAACAGCAGCAAAAAGTAAGAAAATCATGCAACAAAAGCACGAATCTACCTCTTTAAGATGAAAAATCATATTTTGATGGTGCAAAAAGTGAACCCAGATAAGAAAGAGGGAAATGAAACTATAAAACACCTGTGTTTCTCAAATCTGAAAACAGAAAGAAATCCACCACTTGAAGCTTATGGAGTAAGATTAGAGCGAAGAAAATGGAAATGTCTTGTATAAAAAACGTAAGAAGTTAAAGAGAAGAATCAGGTCAAGACTCGTTCAGATTTCTGGAAATTAAACTTGAGTGGGTTACGATAGGCCAGAAAACGTTTACAAGACTTTTTCCGAGTTGCCGAATGGGAAGAGAGGCCGAGGCGGTAAGCAAAAACCGCTAAACCGGAAAATCGAATCAAAATCGCATTTTAGAAATCGTCGATTTGGTGACACGTGGACCCGTCAACGAAATTGTTTTGAACCAAATTGGATTGATTTAGGTTTGAGAATTTTAATAGTGGTTAAAGCCAAATCGGACCGACGAAAAAATATATAAAAATGAAAATTTTTGAAAAATCCAAATATGTAAAGTTCAATAGTTTTGTCATGTGTGAGTATTTTTGTCAATTTCTAATTTTCTATTACAT